ATCAAGAATACCAGAGAATCAGACATGACAAGTTTTATGGAAGATCTTGACAATACCAACTACATCCAAGCAGAATATAACACACTTATTTTTATTAAAGAATTCGAAGAATTAGAAAATCAGTACCTTCAATTAAGAAATGTGATCGATTTTACTCCATACTATGATTCGTTACTTTCTCGTATTGAAACATTTGCTAATTCAGAAAAATCTTTAGAAGATAAAAAAGTACTCAGTTTTATATACACTGCTGCATTAACTAAATCGTTTGCACTAAAGAAGAGAAAGAAGGGTAAAACTGTTGTTAATTTGTCGAAATATTTAGACACTATCGAGAGAACCATAAATGAAGTTAATATGGCCATGCATTTACAAATAGTGCAAAACTATCGAAACGAATACAATTATACACTTACGAAAAAAATTCGAGAAGCAAACGATTTTATAAGAAACAAAATTGAACCTGAAATCGATCAACTTTGGAAACAATCAAACAATCAAATCAAAGCATTAATTGACGAGATACATCAAAACAGAAATGCCCCTATTAATGAAATAGCGAAACTAGAAAAAGAAAGAGAGAAAGTTTATAATACGATACAGTGGCAATCGGTACTTAGACCTATCAGAATTGCCACTGCATGTCTAAGTTTCATCGGGGCTATTGGTGCTGTGGTGAGTGCTGTAGTAACAAGTACATCATCGGTAGCTGAAGGAATGGTCATTGACAAAACATCCGATAATAACAAAAATGCAATTCCTCTTAACGATTTAGTTACAGAATTTCCGTCTTATGTATCAGAAGTTTTCGGATACAAACCCAAACAATTAGCTGATCAATTTGTCGAAGTAGTAATGACACTGAAAGAGTATAATGAAAAATCGTTGATAATAAATGAAACAAAAACAGAAAATTATCGGATGATTGAAAATATAGAAAGAGAAATACACAAAATCCAAAATACAGTGCCACATACAATTGAAGAAGCATCTAGCTTGCACGATAGTGCAATAATGATTAAGGAAAAATTATTTGAGTTTACATCTATACAAATAAATATTCTGGAGAAAGAGAAAAAGCCAATAAACGAGACTAAACCAGAGCAAAAAAATGAAAAACAAGTAAAAAAAGATGCTGAAACTAAAAAAGATCTTAATCTTATGAAGAAAGTGCAATCTCTTTTTAAAAAAGGCAAAGCTTTGACAAGTGTTTCAAAACAATTAGACAATGATAATGAACAGATTAAATATATTGATCAATTGATTAACCAGCATGGTCAGCAGTTAAAGATTTTGGAACATATGGAAGATCAGGTATATGAAAAAGTAATACCCGATCTTCTTCAAATTGAACGAACGGTCAATGAAATCAAGACTTCAATAAATGGATCATCACATGTAAAATTGGACATATCTAAATGGACTGTTAGTACAACCTTGAAAGATGTAAAATTACTACTACAAAAATTATCTCACAAGATGTCTTTCGAGTTGCGAAGTAATTTAGAACATTTCATAGAGAAGATAGACGAAGGTTTTTCTATTTTAATTGACATTTACGATCGTATTGACACTTATTCGGACAGTGTAAAACAGGCTGAATATATAGCACATATTGAATCTGCATCTATGGACAATATTCCAGTAACTGATCCCGAATTGAGTGAAGCAATAACTAACTTAAAGTTGATAATACATTCGAATGTATTAACTGAAAAATATGAAATAGCTCTGCATGCATTTAAACAACATTATTTCCCATTTGCAGCTCATGTGTTGCAAAGATTCCAGCTACCTCCAAGTCTGCGACTTGATGAAACCGAAATATTAAGAATGAACATCATTAATAGAATCAAAGACATGAAGAATCATATTGATGAATCTGAAGTGACTATTGGTGAATACAGTAAATATATTCACGAAAATAGTATCTTTAATGGTAATACTATTGGTTCTTCACCATTTTATGTATGGAGACATGAAACTGTCAAGAATGAAATCCAACATTTACTCAATGGTTCGGAGATTGTAGTTAAGGCAGATATATCGAAAGGACTCAATTGCAATGCAGTTAAATATAATGATATTGGAATAAATTTTAAATTTAGAAATGAAACTCTGCAAAATAATTTTACTTCTATCCTTAAGAATTTTGTGTTAATTATGACGATGGTTGGTAATAATTATTATCGTTGTGGTGAAAGATATTATCGTATATCATTTGATGACGATTTAACTATTTCGTACACTCTCAACAAAGATGAATCAAAAGATTGGATAAATTCTAATTTGGTGTATACTACAATTCGTCGCAGTCATGCTTTTTTGAGTCCTTACGGAATGTGGAGTATAAAATTAAAAAATATTGACAGTTCTGTTTCTTGGGATCACTTGCGTCATTTCATGAATGAAACAATTGATATGGAGTTGGTGGGTCGTGGGTATTACATTGAACAGGATCCTGGTTTTAATTTTGAAGTTTGTAATTCATATTTGGATACATTTTACAATGCTGAAAATACTGTTAAAGAACTTGAATAATTTATGGAAAACTTGAAATAATTGTAAGTCATACATTTAAACGTAACATTAAAATCATTCTCTGGAAGATATCTGTAGGCTTACTTCATTAAATGTTCAATTATGCTAAAATGATGTTCATTTACTGCCAATTAAAGATTATTGTTAATTGTAGTAAGAAAAATATAATTATTGTAGAAGAAAAAAAATAATAAAAAAGCTTTGAATTAACCATGGATTTTTTTGGCAGAAAAAAAAAATGATTAAATAAAAATTTATTTTAATTAAGATTCCAACTATTTAGCTCGTAATTGCATGCCAGCAAACAAAAAAAGTCTTGATAAAATTTGAATATCTTTGTATTCATTTTAATTTGATTTTTTAATACTTTATAAAGTATTAGTAAGTATTTGAAAATAATTGTGATTATGACTCAAGTTAATAAATTAATTAATTACTAGAAGAAAATTCAGGTAAGTTCTTCTTATCTTTTCTAAAACTAGGAAGTTAATAAGTAAGAATGAAAACCTACTTTTATTATCTACAGTCCAGAGGCTATAAAAAAGTATTCCAAATCATTAACCCAAAGTGAAATTTAACAGTTACTGATTGAGTGCATCATTGTTTTAATATTTATTCTTCTATCATTCAGTCTGATATTTCCATCAACAAGCTGAATGTCAAATTCATTTTTTCTCCAACTTAATTCAAAGAATCTTGACTGTAAATCTTTAGCATAAAATTGTGTAGTGAAATTGACTTTTAAAACAATAAGAAGATGGCCAACAGTTTCAAATGGAATTCTTGTCTTCGTTTAAACTTATCACAAGCATGCTCTATTCTGGGCTGGCTGGATTTGGTAAGAAATAACTAAATATTAAGAAGATCCACATGATTAACTTTCCAGTAGGAAGTAAAAAAAAAAATTAGGGTAATTATTTAGAATTGGAGCTCCAGGCTCTAGTGGTAAATCATTAAATGTCTCTAAAATTGTTGATCATACATTTCAGAACGTAGCAAAAAGAGGAAAGGGGGATGGGGATGGGGAGTGTTAAAAGGGCATAAATATTTTCAAAAATTACAAAAGTATTTATGCCCTTTAAACATCCCCTCCCGAACCTTCCATCCTCTTTGTCACTTTATTATTTGAATTCAAGCTATACCTATACCTAAAAATCCTCATGATGACCTGGAACCTCATAAAACATGTCTCCCTCACCTTCAATTATCCAATTCTACCTAAGAAAATAGTTTCCAGGTAGTGAAAAATTTTTTGGAGCTATTTTTGCCTGGAGCTCCAATTCTAAATAATTACCATTAGTTCTTTTATTCTACACAAAAAATGTCTTGACCGATTTTACTCAAGATCTAATCAGGTTTGGATATAATTATGCATCAAATAACACTGGTCCCATGTCAATATCGTCATTAATTCTCAAGATACACGAGATGAAAATGAATAAAGAACATACAGACATACATGTATATACCCACAAAACAATCTCTGGAAAAACCCATAGAATTGGACTCCTAGGGTACCCTAGTAGTAACATACAACAGACCCATTGGTACTGGCAGGAAGCTATCATCCAGCAGAGGTTCTGTACTTAGCAATGACTGGATGATAACTTCATTTACCAGCAAGACTGACATACCCTTTTAGGAGTAGAGACCTTGAAACCTAAAGATAAATTAAAATTGGGACTTTGCAAAAGCGGACTCATTAGAATAACTTCTTACTGGGGATTTAATCAAGAACTTGCTGTTAATTACATTCTTTTAACTCCATTCTTCTTTCTAGATATCAAGTATTTTTATCATTGTTGAATGTTCGATACTTTTTCACAACGACCATGCTACTGAAAACATCTACTTCATTGTTGGTGCTATTATTTCAATTTGCACATGTTTGACAATGATGTCTGGATCCGCAAAGGTAATCACTTAATTACTGAACATGGTAGAAGTTCCAAAACAAATACTGGTTCATCAAACTTTTATTCAATTAAATGATGACTTATGATATTACAGAAAAATCATTGGCTGTTAATTCCTCATATTATATGGAAAATAATTCTCATCGAATACCTGGCAGTATTAATAGTGATGTTTATCTGGAACCTAATAGCAAGTGGAGAAATAATAGCTGCTCTAATACCTATTGCTATTTCTACTATTCTTTTACGTAAGAATCAAAATCAAAGTAATCGAATATTAATTTATCATTTAATAATGATAAAAATTATTTTCAGTCATGTCTATTTTATACTGGATAGTTACGTTCCATCGTTACCTAGAAATCAAAGGGAAGGAGTTCAATCTACCAGAGAGTATAGAAATGATGTAAAAAATCGTCCTATTCTGTGCTATGATATTGTTATAATGGAATTTATCATTATAATGTTATTTCAAAAGATATATAAACTAAATAAATCAATTATTACATAATATTTTTAAATAATCTTTTTTATTTGAACATAGAATATAAGAAATTCATATGTTACATCAGACAGTTTATTCTTATATTAAACAAAGTTCAAACTTCTGAATTTTTACCCTTAAATTCCTCAACACTACCATTTCTTTCAATCATCATTTCTTGTTTTTTATTGATAAATATTTATCAACATGTCTGTATCCAACATATTATGAAGCAAGTTTATTTAATAAGTGAAACCTTTTCCAAATATAAAAGTGTTAAGTTCATGATTCTTTTTGCAAAATAATGTTCTTGACACTTCGTTCCAATGTAGCCAAAGCAGACAAAGTTGCTTTACTTCGTTGAATTAAATCAAGGTTTTTAGCTTCACGAGCTTCACTTTCTGCTCTAAGGGTTTCATTCATAATATGCAAATGATCTGTAAGCCTTTTCAACTCTTTCATCATCATGTCATATTGAGAAGCTTTGGCAGACATGATTGATAATTTACCCATCTTGACACATTCTACTGCGACAGGAAGACCATGCTTGAGTGTTTTAAAGAGATGCCTGACTACATCATGGTGACCATCTGATGACCATTTATTCAACATCTCTCCATGTGAATGCCAAAAATTCGTCCAATCTTTATTTCCTTCTGACAACTGAGTAGCCTTTTTAATAAAGTCAGAGATAGGAACTACTTCTGCTGCTAATCCGTTATAGTATTCAAAGAGATCCACACCATCTAATTCTCTATCATCTAGAGGCTTTTTCATATTTAGCTCCAATTCATTTTGAACTGGAGGTCCAGGTGTTTTATCTGGTACTTTTACAGATTTAACCAACTTTGCTTTCCTTCTTATTGTTTTATTTTCATATATGGTTTTTCCCCTTTGTTTAGCAGCAAAATAAAAACTAACATTGGATTTAATCCATGGTGCTTGCCATACTGCAGGACCTTTATCATATTCAATGATAGCAGTAAATGCAATGCACACAAATTCATTTTCTTTGGGCGAATAACCTCGAAGATATCCATCGTCAATAATTCGTGCCCAAGCAAATCCATGTTCTCCTTTTTTCAGGTAGTTGGTAAAAAAATCATCAATCCTTCGACAAGATTTTTCAGCGTGATCATTCGACAGTAGAGGACGAATCGCTTCCCAGGATATTTCTAGCAATTCACAAACATCTATCAGCATCTTGATCATTCCTAATCCATTGTATGCTGTATCAGAAAGCACTGAGGCATCAAGATATCCTCGATTTTTTGGTTTTGGGTTGTCTAGTGCATGAGTTCTCACCATTTCATCTGCTAGAATGCAAAACAAGATTCGAGTTTCAGGGGAACTTTTGGTAAGTTGAGTACAACATGAACTCAATACTTCTTTGATTGGAGGAGCAAATGGCTTGTCTTTAGACCATCCTGCTGCTGACTCAAGAATATTCCGATACTGAGCATCATTAAATGCTATCATCATTTGCTTTAGATTTCTTGTAGCAAATCGACATAATGTTAATGCTAAAAAACCAGCCAATGCCTGGAGTTCTCTGTCAGAAGTACAAGTACTAGACTTGGTGTGAAAATCATCAATAGCCTTTTTTATGTAGCTGTGGAAAGCAGAGAGTTTGCGTGTCACAGCTGGACCCTCTGAGATACCATTAATCTCTGAAGTCACGGAGGTTGGTGTTGAAACATTGTCTTGGTAGTATATTTTTCCAGAAGGTCTGGGATTGAAAAGCCGATGACCATCAACGTGGGCAAGAGATACACAGTCATGAACTGTAGCTATCAAATTATCTTCAGATGGAATTCTTCCAGTAAAATAAAAATTAAAAAATCGTGTTAATATAGTTTTAGCTGTTTTTGGGTTCCATTTATTCATCACAAATTTGTACGTTCTACTCATCACTCGCAGTTCATTGTCACTCCATCCTGGAATATTAATTGACGAGTGTATAACCAAGTCATCATCACCATAATCATCACCCATTATTTAAACCTTCAACTCCACAATTCCAGATCAACAGTAATCTAAAATACACTAGACCTGTTCCAATATCAATATGTTCTTATAACTTCCAGGTTATAAAATTCCTTAAATTTCATCCACCAACTATGGTATTATTCACTCTATCAGCTTTGTCCTAGTTCGGTTTTATTTCAACAACCTATTCATCAAAAATAATGAAAAGAAAACTTAGTAACAATATGTTCAATAGTCAATTAATTCTTTAAACATGTGCATTAATTTATTATTCAGCAAATCAATGACTTATAGTGTCATTGTTTGAGAAACTGATGAAACCAACCTGCGAAGCTGTCTAAAACTTAGTAACATCTAGACATCTTAAGTAAATCTTGTTCAAGTATTTTTTTGTCAATCAGCTTGGTCTGGTTCTGCTTTATTTTTAGATTCTCCAGCAACCTATTTAACAAACAAAGGAAAAAACATTACCAACAGTCAATTAATTATACAAAAATATCTATTAAATCTATGGGTCATTCAAACAACATCTTAATTGCTATAATGAACAAGAATGCATGAGTGAGGCTCTCAAGAAATAATTATTTCAGAAATTCAAAGTAATGACTACCAAGAATATGTTGATATTGGAAATTCTCATAGCAGGAATAAGTTTCACTATTTGAATAATTATGTATTTCTTTTATTATTATGAAGATTTAAAAGTAAAGGCTCTGGTGAATTGAGACTAGTAATGCTTAGACTTCATAATGATCATCAAGTCCAGATCAGTCCTAAATGCTATTGAACAAACAATACACTTATTCTAGGAAGAGTAATAATATTTAGCTTAAGACGTATATTCATTATCAACCTAAACATGTGTCATGTCGTTCACACATACAGGAAAAAAACAAGTAACCTAATTGTTATATAAAATAAAGTAATGGAGAATTTTGTTTATACTCCAACAGTTGAAATGGAATGTAAGAGTGCATAGCAATTAATCTTAACGAAGTTTAAAACAAAAATAAAACTGCTAATATTATTTTGTAATTCAAAACTTCAATGTATCATTAAAAATTTTATTTATCAAGATCCTTTTCAATTGAATCAAGTTTCACAAAGAAAATGTCAAGGTTATTATTGATTTGAATTTATAGTTTAATCATTAACGATAAAATTAATAGTCAAAAACTGATTATTGTAATGAATAATGGAATGACAATACACAAAAGTATCTGCTGATATGGTTAATGTTTTTTTCAATTTTTCAATGAACTCATGCCATACGACTACCCAAGAAACTTTTATAGAACGTTATCAAGATGTAATCAAAGAAGTAGCCTTGAAAATAAAATCATGTTCTTTTAATCTTTGATAAAAAAACTACATATTCACGTAGTGTATTGTATTTCAATCGAAACTCCATTCTTTTAAATTTGATAATTTTCTTTTGTTCTGAAAATTCATGTCTACTTCCGATCTCCAACCACCCATAGCTTCTAAACTGTTGGAGATACGACAAAATTTGATAGGACATTTTTGATAAAGAATCATATTTCCTACAACTTTTGTCCCAACCTTTTTTCCATATCTTCCACCAGTTTGCAAATATTATTGAACAAAGTACACATTTTCAATATCTTCTTAATTTTCATCTGATTTTTCAGACATCCTGGTTATCACTGTCAACTATTCCACTATACTTTGAAGCTAACAAGTAGTTCTAACTTTTAATTAACTATTTACAAACTTATGAATGAAATCCACTTACCCTTTAATGTATTAATATTCACAAATAATTAATAAATTGATGCACATGTATTGTTATGACTTTTGCGTATGAATTTTTAAGAGTTGAGTCATATCAGCAGTACACAAACTCTGGGCTGTATTTGCGCTGTGATTCCCCGCTTGAAGTAATGATGAAGATGCGCGCGCATGTACGATTACAAGTAGCGCACATTTGAATGCTATTGGATCAAAAGAGAGCTCATCAGGGCTGACACACTGGAGCCGCTAAAAATCAAAACTGCCATGAAATATTTCAAAAATTGTTTACTACCAAGTAACTACTATCATCAGATCCAATTTAATGAAGCCAATTTTGAGATACATTTAAATCTGATGAATTTAAATCCATTTTAATCTTAGATCCAATGATTTTTCTTCGGAAAAAGGCTTTTAAAATTCAAGACTGTTGGGAATTTAAGGTTATGGTCAAGGAATATTAATTCAATATAGACTGAATTTATTTTGTAGTTTAAAATACTTATGGATTCTTTATTAAACGATAGCGGATTGTGCTGAGAAGTTCATCTGTATCCTTCAGAGACTTTTCTAACTAACTAAAAAATGTTTTTAAACATTACTCTACAGTAAAAACAATCAATCGTCTCTTCTTTGTTCATATTTACAGATGTCTGCAGTATGTAGCATAATATTAATAAGCATTAATAAGCATAGTATGTAGCATAATATTGAATAAAATCAAAGGGTCCTTTGACTGACTGTTGGGAAATAGGTTACTAAAAATATTTAGAATGTCGATATTTCAATTGATGAAATGTCTTTATTTTAATTAGGACTATAGGAAGGTAATCATCCAAGAGTTTCCTTATGATGTTCTCTTCACGAGAATCTACAAAAGACTAACTCAAAAATTATCCTAAAGTACTTATCCTAACTATATAACTAAAAATATGAAGTGTGGCCCACAGATGTCTACCAGGACTAAAATTTGTTTATTTTCCTAAACAGTTTTTATGGATACTGGGATTTTCCCTGGGATTTTATTATCCTTTACTTAGGTTTGCTTTTTTCTTTAACTACCAACATCCTTAGACCACTCATCATACTTTCAATAGAATAATTTTTGATGATATTTAACCAATATTTCAACACTGACCCAAGTACTTAAGATTATATAATAAAAAGAGTAATAAAATAAAGAAGAATAGTTTGGAGTCCTTACAGATGTGTATTAAGAATACACATGTTTATATTTCCTAAATTTAAAACTAAGTTGTTAAATAAATAAAAAATTAATTGAGATTCATTTTTGTTCAGAGAATCCAACAAAGACCAATCGAACTCTTGACATTAATTATATTTTAATGAGCAAAATAATGACTTTGTTTTATTGATTGTAATTTGAGCTAATAAATAAGTTCTTTTCACTATCATCAAAATAAGTAAGAATGAAAACCTACTTTTATTATCTACAATCCAGAGGCTATAAAAAAGTATTCCAAATCATTAATCCAAAGTGAAATTTAACAGTTACTGATTGAGTGCATCATTGTTTTAATATTTTTTCTTCTGTCAGTCTGATATTTTCATCAACAAGCTGAATGTCAAATTCATTTTTGACTGATCTTTGAAGTAAAATTGTGCAGTAGTGTTGAATTGAAAATAAATAACAAAATGGATTTGACTTTTAAAATGAAGAGAGTTTGTTGCTTAGGCTTATCCCAAGCATGTCTTATTTTTGGGATCTTGGATCTGGTGAGAAATAGCAGAATATTACCAAAAAACTTGTTATTGATTTTATTATTGTGATTTATATTATTTTGTTACTTTTTCAGGCACTAAATTCTTATATATTTGCCAAGTTGTTAGTGCTTGTAACTAGAACTGATGAAGTTGGTCCTAAATTCCTTCTTCCTCTAACTATTATTGGAGCTAGCACGTGTTTCTTCATGATCATTGGATCTATTCAGGTGATTATCAATTCACTAAAGATCATGAATGATGATTATTATGATTCTGAACGTAAGAAGTAGTTGATTAATATCTCATCAATTTTTGATATTTACAGGAAAATCATTGGTCAATGCTTCCTCATCTTGTATGGCAATTGATTCTCATCATAACCTTTGTTGTAATAAGTGTGATTTCATTACAAAATTATGTCATATTAGATGAGCACTTCCAGTATGATCGTGTGATGAATTTCGTGCTTGTCATCATCATTATCATTGATGTTCCAAGTAAGAATTGAAAACCAAGTAATAGAAAATTTATTTACATACTTTTTTAACAATGAATTATTTATGTTTTCAGTTATTTTGTTTTTGTATTGGAGTATTATGTACAATCGTTATTGCGAAATCAAAGAAATGCATTTGCTTCTATCAGATCAGGTGCAAGTGGAGTGAAGGGTTGTTGAAAACTGAAACCATTTTTTAAAGAAGAATTAATTAATTGAATAATTTTATCTTTCTTTTTTTATACTACCTTATGTAAGTAAGTAAATAAACCTGGAAAATATGATAAAATCTAAATAAATTAAAAGAGATCATTGATATATTTTTAAAATTGTCTAATGTTGATTGTTATGGATTCATTTATTGTTTGATGTTATTGCTATTTTTAAATGGTACTGATTGATGAGCTATCCAGTCAGTTACTTTTTTATTCACAAAAGGTGAACTCACGGTTTATCAACAATCATAGTTATTATTATTAATATGCCCCTCGTAGTCAAGATCTATCATTAGAATTGTCGAAAAAATTACGTACGTCTGTTTCCTTTCTACAACAGCATCTGACGTCTGACATTGATCTTAGGTTAGGAAACCAAAAAACAGCTACAAGGGTGAAAACATTGATAAAGAAATATCATCTTCTTCTAGACTTTTATCAGAATTTTTTGAAGAGATTCATAATTAGACTAAAAATAGAATAAATAAACAAAAGAAAAAATTATCTTTTTTCGTTAATTTATGTATTACTTGTCATACCAGATACATTAAAGATAAAAGTGTATATATTATAACTTTAAATGATAATATGTATGTTTTGTGTGAGTTTTGATGGATTCTTTCTTGGTACAATTGTTATTTTAATGGACACATGTTTGATGATGATGTCTGAATCCAAAAGAGCAATAATGATGTCATGTTATTTTCATTGTTACCCATCCAACAAAAAATGGTCTAAATGATATCTAATAAGCATCTTTATCTAGCGATAAATATTTTAGAAGTTATCTGAAAAACCTCTGAAAGATATTCGTAAGATATCTTGAGCACGTCTGTTTACATTCTGCATCAGATTGAAAATTGAATCCATTACAATGTCTTCCTACTTCAAAAGTTAATAAGATTTGTTTTAATAAACAAAATAATAATAATAAAAGAATTAGTTATTCAATTAACAGAAAATATATTCAGGTAAGTTCTTATCATTACTAAAATAAATAAAAATGAAAACCTACTTTTGTTATCTATAGTCCAGAGGCTATATGAAAGTTTTCCAAATCATTAATCCAAAGTGATACCCAAAACAGTGATGGTTTAAGTATTCCACTGTTATATTTATTCTTCTGTCATTCAGTCTGATATTTCCATCAACAAGTTGAATACCAAATTTATTTTGGTCTGATCTTTGAAGTAAAATAGTGTAGTGAAATTAACATTACATAAAGTTGCAAGATGGATATGACATTTAAAATTAAAAGAATTTGTTGTTTAAGCTTATCGCAAGCATGCCAGATTCTTGGAATCCTGGATCTGGTAAGGAATAGCAGAATATCAACAAAGAACTTGCTATTGATTATGTTATTGTGACATAAATTATTTCGTTTTTTTTTAGATAATAAATTCTTATATCTTTGGAAAGATATTAATTACTGCACCTAAGACAGAGGATATTGGTTGTTCTCCTATATTATTGCTCATCATTAGCTCTATTGGAGCTTTCTCAAGCTTCTCTATGGTCGTTGGATCCATAATGGTAATCATTTATTTCTTTAAAATTATTAGTTTTAAAAATAAAACCCTATTTTATTAATATTCCATCTGCTTAATATACAATTTATGGTTATGTAGGAATATCGTTGGGCAATGCTTCCTCATCTTGTATGGCACATGGTTCTTTTCGTGCTCTTTCTCGTAATGAGTTTCTTTGCATTGGAAAATTATGCGAAAAACCAACACCTTCCAATATCTATGTATATATTGTATTTGTGCCATAATATTGTGGTACTGAGCTCCGTTGCAGGTTAGAATTAAAATCCAAGTCAAATAAAATTGATTGATATTCATTATTCTTTACAAACATTAAGAATTATTTTTTTTTCTTAGCTTTTTGGTTCTTATATTGGAGTATTATGCACAATCGTCAACGTGAAATCAACGAAAAGTATTTGCCTCGATCAGATCAAATACAAATGGGATGAAGAGTTGTCGATAACCAATAACCATTCTTGGAAGAAGTATTATTATAATAAATTAAGCAATTATATCGATAATTTTTGTGTTATTTTAGATAAGTAAACTAGAAAACCTAGAAGAAAATGAAATCTAAATTTAAATAATAATAATTAACATTTAATTTATTAATAAATTAAATAAGAGGAGAGTGGAGACAACATGATTTACAATAAGATCTTTTTTTATGAACAAAACAATAAAACTGTTACATAAATTATGATTCGAGTTGATTAATTATTTAATTATTAAAAGCTAAATAAAATTATTAAAAGCTAAGTTAAATTCAAAAGCTCTTGCAGGAATGGACAACAGGATCATGACCAGGTCCTGATTGAGCTAGCATTGACCATCAAATGGTGTTATCAGCGATGACAATATCATAAACACAATTGTACCATGCTTGAGAATTTTTCTAACTAATTTTTTATTAAGACAAATAAAAATAATACCTTGTTTTCCCTATCATTACTGCGAAATCAAAGAAAAACACTTTGCTTCATTAGATTGAGTATAGATGGAATAAAAAGTCGCTTAAATCTGAAGTCATTCTTGAGAAATTAACATTTATTTCAAATTAATCCAACCAATATATCTAAGTTTTTTATATTATAATCCAGTTAGAGTTCAGTTAAATTAAAGAGTCATGATATTTTATCAATGCTAACTTGGTTTATATATTTTTGAA